CATGTTCTTTATTTGTTATGAAGTTCGACACTTATGTCAGGGTTTAATCTTACCAGGAGCAGTGTGAGGGAGCGCTCCGCTTTCCTCTATCCCCCTGCCAATTTTTTCTGTTCTCTTTTTTCTAAAGCCTACTGATAAATACTTTTTCTAAAAACAAAACTGTCCAGTATGCGAATTATGATATTCCTAAAATTATAGAGCGTCCATCGGCTCAGAGTTTTTGTTTTGGGTATAACTCAAAAAAGTGAGAAAATGAGAAAATATGAAGTTATACCATCCAATATCTTATGATTCTTATAAGCTGAACTCGTTTATAGGTTTCTTTTCTATTGTACCCACAAAATATCGGTAGAAGGAAGAGAATCAGAGTTCATGTCGATACGACCAATTTGTAGAAATTGAGCTGCTAGAAGTATATGAGTTTGATATATTGTGGCACAAAAAATTTCCGCTACTGAGCACTCTCTTTCAAAACTGGTTTGAGATATAAGCTTGAAATCAAGTAGACTAGATTGTATCCTTTTATTTACAAAGGGAATGTAACGAACTTCGGTGAGTTTAGCACAACATAGTGAAGTAAGTGAGGATTCCCAAAGTTGCTATTTAATCACTAAGCAAATGTATTTTGAGAAAGCCTAACATTCAAACACTGAGTTTTGCGGTGACATGTTAAATTACAGAACACAAGAATTCTTCTTCTGCACTCAGTTATTTTACTGAAGTTTACGAATGCGCGAGAAGAGGCAGATTTCTCTATGAAAAATTAGGCCATCATATCTATCGAATTTCTGGCTTCTACGGATGAAATAGGCATGAAAAAACAAGGCATTTAGCTTTGCAGAATAGAACTTCCCACGATAAAATCAAAATCTAGAAGTCATGCTACTTCAGGATTTCTCGCCGACAGCATGATTAGGAGATCAAACAAGGGGCTGTCAGTTAGTGAAAGTAACAATGTGGTAAGCACTTTCTATATCGTAAAGGAATAATTCAGTGCATATTATAAAAGAGGTAAATTTTATTCCTTATGATACTGACTAATTGTCAAACAATGCAAACTTTTGAGCAAATTGATCAAGAAGAAAATTCTTTTTATCACGATCCGGTATAGCAGCTACTGCAGATGTTGAGTAGCTTTTTTCAGAGTATTCAATATCCTTTTGTAATTGTGGTTACGCAGTTTATTCTTCAAAAAACAGACATACACACTAGAAAAGAACATGGCAGAAAATATTGTTGTTTCTACAGCCATAAGGAAAATTATGCAAAATGGATAAGTAAACAACCTAGGCACTACAAGCTTGACGAAACGGAACAATTAGGCATCTATTTATAAGGTATAAGCACCAATAATTGAACGGTGTCATTGAAACAATAATCGAATAACAGTAAGTAGTAAACGTGAATCACCCTCTGAACAACCCAGAAAACAAAAAGCCACTCAGAAAAGATCCAAGTGTGCCAGTACGAGTGCAAGTTTGAAAACGGGAATGGTAAAGGAAGCTAGAGTCTGTCAGAGCTTATTTCTCAGTCGTTGCGATGTTAGCCTATCACTTTAACTTCATTTCGTGACATACACTCTCATAGCAAAACGACTGCCCCAAAAGTGCAGTTGTGCGGTCAAAAGTGGAAAATCAAAAGAGTCCGCATCTCTTTACTTCGTAGAGCCTTACAGACTATGACAGTTAATGCGGAAAGAAGTGAAGAAAATCAAAGAAGACCAATCACCGGGTATCAACAAAAAATCGACGGATGCCTAGATTGGGAAGACTTGTAGAAAAAAGCGAAATAGCGACAGCGAGCAATAGCGCAACAAAATCAGTCAGATAGAAACATTAAGTCTGAACATAAACCGTTTGAGTTGAACTAAACCGACATCCAAAATCAAAGAGATTCAAGGATAACAGTGCACAAACTCACATACTCAAAGAAGTCTGGTAGGCATTACTGGTTTAGTTAAAAAGAACAGAAAGGCATTAATGCATAACAAATTGAGCGTAGTTACAGCTAACTGTAGCATCAGTCACAAGTACAATATAAACGACTGCCTAATGTCAACAGAACAACGTAAAATGGCATCACTTTGACCGGATGACGTCACCATTTTTAAGGCGCTCACAACAAAGTTAGATTACATCGAAGCTTCCCTAGTTTTGATTGAATCAGTTATTCCGATGGGATGCTGCACTACTGTAAGGGATTTTGGGTTTTTGCCAAAACTGATCCTGAATGGAAAAACCGTCAATTGTTGCACCAAGATGTTTTGTGGGGATTTGTGAGAAATTCTTTGCACCCGAATCGTACCTGGAATAATAAGTGGGTTAAAACACATATAAATGTCACAAGCAGTTTTAAACTACTTCTACCTGCTTGAATAAGAAAAAACATAGTAAAGACACTTACTTGAACATCAGCTTCATGATACTTTCCGAACACTTAGACGGACCCTGCCCTGAGATCTTGATAGCAGTGTCTGATACCTAAATATTAAAAGCATCACATATGAAATTAATTTATTCTGATAAAGCTGGAAAATTGACACAGTAAAAGTTAAAAATTAAGGTTAAATTTTATTCTATCAAATTTTCACCTGATCCCAACTATAGAGACCTCGGTACTGACATTTGTAGTCGCGGAAAAGAATGAGGAAATGTTTCGCATCCGATGCAGCCAAATCATTCATTGTCTAATACAAAAGAGTTAGCAGGAGAAATGCATTCTAGAATATCAAATATGGAAAACGTACCTTCATTCTTGTCTGATCATTCACCGCTCCTGGGAATACACTATACTGCAGAGCATTGATAATTAAACCGCGGTTTGATTTTGGAGCAGCTTTAGCAAAAAGTTTGTGAGCTGGAATGAACTTGATGTGGTACGAGATAAAGCGACACCAAAATTCCAGTAATAAAGTAAAACCGGGAGGGAAAAAGAACTTTCATTTCATCGTTCAAAACTAAAATGCTGAAAACCCAAGTAAGAATTAATCATGATCCAAAAATAAAAGAAAATGAAGGTTTTCTACAGCTTCATCGTCTTTCCATTCAGTGTCGAGAATCCAAATAAACAAGCATTTGAGAAACTTCTGTCTACAAAAATATAATATCCATGAACAGAGAGTACTAATGTCACTTACTTGGTTCCTGCAAGCTTGAAACGGAAATGCGTTGTTCAACTGTGGATTGCCCTCGTGCTCTAGGTGGACGTCCTTTATCAGTTGCATCTGCACCCATCGCAGACTCGGACATCTGAAAAGTTTCTATCTAGAAAAACGTGTGGAACAGAAGTGCGCACCTGCGATTTTGTGCGAATGAAGGGTGGTTGAGAGTGTCCACGACCGGGAGGACTTCGAGCTGAGTTGGATCCTGATTCAACGCCCATCTCTTTTTCCATCTTTCTTCGTTTGTAGTCATCCAAGATCTTCTGACTAAAGCGAAAAAAAAAACAATAGCCATGATTGTTTCCCCAGAAGACTAAAATTCACCGTTGCAACTCTTTTTCTAGCTTTCGCTGCTCCGCCATTTCACGCTTCGCCATTTCAGCCAGCCTCTTCTCAGCGTTCCTCTGTTCAATCTGGTCTACCTGTAACCCACTGAAAGGATTTGCGGAAAAAAAAAGGCGAAGCTGAAAGCCTTAGTGAGAGTAACAGCAAAAATCTGCAGTAACATAAAATGGTGCCAATCATATTTCAAACGAGTTACCTTGCTTTCAATTTCCTCTTTGCGTTTCATCGTCTTTGCAAGAAGAGCAGCTCGTTTTGCTTGACGGCGCTGTTCAGCCTGTGAGGTAAGCGCTTGAAAATTCAAGTCAGAATTGCTATCTTTCTGTTTTTTTAAGAAAAAGAGGATAATTCTATTGCGCAAAAACTTTCCGCAACTATTTGGACATAAACTCAGGAATACTGGGAAAGAACTAGAAGAAAAACAAGTTCTATATTAGTGTTTTATTCAGTGTGGTGGGGATTTGTAGCCAGCACTTCTAAACAGAAATGATGAAATGAGATTTTGTTCTCCAGAGCCATCTTAGCAAACAAAAACTAATTTGT